CCACCACCCCACCCGCGAGTTCCAGCTCGGCGTGGGACGGGGCTCCACAGGGTCTCCGTGGCTGATGTAGGGGAAAGCAGATCACCTGGGTGGGCTTGTCCCTCCAGCCTGGGGGATGGGAGTTGAGCGCTGACTCCTCCAGGGCCCCACTGTGCTGGGGGGGGAGACGGCAACAGTGGGCTCTGACGTGAGGCGCTGTGAGCAGCCTGGGCTGTGCTTTGTCCTGTTGAGTATTGGGTCCCCGTGAGTTGGTGGCATCGACTGGATGGCACCTCCCTGTGAGACAGGATGGCACACGGCTGTGTGCACAGCTGTCTGGTGGGCCCTAGAGCCACGCTGTACCCTTGGGGGAAACATCGGCGGGGTTGGACAGGGAAGTTGGGGCTGGGTCAGCTTGAAACCTGAGGCTGCTGCCCGGGAGAGCACGGCTTGGTCCACCATGTGCTCACAGGAGGGGTCTGTGTGTGAATGCCGAGGACAGCCTCGCAAGTCCATGTGAAGCGTCTGCACCCCTTCCCCTGGCCGGGAGCAGGCTGGGTGCCCCCAAAAGCAGGACTCCATGGGCCAGACCTTCCTGATGATCCCAGCGAGCCATCCGTGCTGGGAACGGGAGAGCTCCTGGCAAAACACAGACACGAGAGAGGTGGTGACCGTGGGCTGCCTGTTAAGTGACGAGGGGTTACAGTCCCCAGGCTGCGTCATCCAGGCAGTCGGGGTGCAAGTTATCAGCCGGTAGGTCGGGCAGGGGGTTGCCTTCTGAGATGGAATAGCCAAGGAAGGCCTGTCCGGGCCCCCCTCGACATGAGATTTTCTTGGGGGGGGTGGCGCCGCAAGTGATGAGTGGACGTGACTGGGATTCCAAGATGTCAGAAGACAGACAGAGGCTGGTGTGACAGCACCTTGGTCCCGTGTATTAGGGGGCAGCTGTGTCCAGAATGTAACTGTCCTCTGCTCGCTGGGGCGCCCAGTCTCCCATCGGAATGTTAGGGTTCAGGGGCTCCCTGGTCCCTGCTGTGAGGTATCGTTCAGATCCACCCTCACCCCCCATAAGGTGACAAGCTATCTGTTTGTTTCATGCTGGTGTCTGAGCTCAGGAAAACCCTCTCCCCAGTCTCGTTTTTATGACGATGATTTAAACAGTCGATTAAGTACCGGAGGCTTCTCACAGGACGACGCGGTGATGGAGACCAGCATCCCCAGGCAATCTTGACCCGGCACTGGCCTCTCCAGAGAAGACAAGCCAGGAACCCCGTGTCTGGGGGGCGGGAGTGTAGCTGAGCATATTCTTTCTTTATGATCCTCGGGAAAGCATCTTCAGAGCTGCGGAAGTGTTGAAGGCTCAGGCACCTCGTGT